ATACAAAAACAACAATTAGAAATCCAAAAGATAAACAACAAGATTTCAGAAATGGACAGTGTCATAAAGGCTGAGCAGCAGGTTTGAAACAATGGAAGATAGGATCAGCAAAACTGAAGACAAACTCTTGCATACAACACTGAGGAAAAATCAGAAAAAAGAATGAAGACAAACGAAAAAACCCTGAGAATTATGTGGGATACAATCAAAAGCAAAAATCTTCGAGTGATCGGAGTTCCAGAACAGGGGAAAAAACAGAAAACACAGAGAAGATCATTGAAGAATTGCTGACAGAAAACTTCCCCAATATCATGAAAGATGAAAAGCTGACCATCCAAGAAGCTCAATGAACCCCATATAGGATAGACCACAAAAGGAAATCACCAAGTTATAATCACACTCACTAAAACCAAAAACAAACAAACAATCCTGAGAGCAGCTTGACAAAAACAAAAAGTCACATACAGAGAAGAAACAATAAGACTAAGCTCGGATTATTCGGCAGAAACCATGCAGGCAAGAAGGCAATGGGATGACATACATAAAACCTTGAAAGAAAAAAAACTGCCAGCCAAGAATAATATATCCTGCAAAACCATCATTCTAATATGATGGTGAAATTAGGTCATTTCCAGATAAACAGAAATTAAGGGACTACATAAAAACCAAACCAAACTTACAAGACTTATTAAAGGGAGTCCTTTGATCTGAGAACATCAGACCACAGGCTGAATATAGGACACAGTATTCTACCAGCCAGATACCAGCCTAGGCAATGAACTCTTACGGACTATGCAAAACTGAAAGAATTACAACAGGGAACCACAGAGGTTAATCTGTAAATGACAATAGCTTCAGAACAATAAAAGAGGGACTAAGTGGTGTAGGTATAGAACCTTCTAATGGAGAGGAAAACAAGGCGATAACAAGTAATAAAAGACTGGCTCAAATCTAGGAAGATAAGGGTAAATTTCAAGGTAACCACAAAGAAAGTTAACAAACCTACTCATTAAAATAAAGAAGAAAAACAAAGTCTCAGTAAAAACAAAACCTACAAAAACAAAACAAATGAAAAAATCCACAAACAAAAGGAACTCAGCACAGGAGAGTAAGAGGAACCAAGAAAACGTCGCAGCACAAAAAAAAGTACTACAAAATGCAATCCCACTCCTCGGAATATATCCTAGAGAAATAATAGCCATCACACGAATAGACATATGCACACCCATATTCATTGCAGCACTGTTCACAGTAGCAAAAAGATGGAAACAACCTAGGTGCCCATCAACAGATTAATGGATAAACAAACTATAGTACATACAATGGAGTATTATGCAAAGATAAAGAACAATGATGAATCTGTGAAGCATCTCATAACATGGATGAAACTGGAGACCATTATGCTGAGTGAAATATGTCAGTCACAAAAGGACAAATATTGTATGAGACCTCTACTGTAAAAACTCATGTAAAATTTACACACAAAAAGAAACAAACTTTGTTGGTTACGAGGGATGGGAAGGGTGGAGGGAACTAAACAGACAATAAATAAGTGGTAACTTTGGTGAAGGGTAGGACAGTACACCATACTGGGGAAGCCAGCACAACTTGTACAAGGAAAGGTCATGGAAGCTCCATAGACACTTCCAAACTCCCTGAGGTACTGAACTGCTGGGCGGAGGGCTGTGGGGACCATGGTCTCAGGAAACATCTCGCTCACCTGCCATAACACAGTTTATAAAGACAATGTTCTACATTCTACCTTGGTGAGTAGC